TGAGGCTTTGCTCTGGCAAAGCCTCAGAAGCGCGGGAACCCGCCCGGTGCCCCTGGTCTGCTGGAGACGGTCTCCAGCAGACCAGGGGCACCGGAGCATCTTACGAACGGGGCTTTCTTGCCCCGACTTCCGGTGCGAGAAAGCCCCGTTCGTAAGTGCGGATCCGACGTAAGTGCGGATCCGACGTAAGTGCGGATCCGACGTAAGTGCGGATCCGACGTAAGTCGGGGACTGCCTGTAGATTATTTATCTAACCTCACAAAACATGAGCAATAGAGCTCCCTGTTCTGTCCCTTTAGAAGGCTTGTGGAAGATTTGTGTGCGCATCTTAAGAATTCTGTGTGAGACTGTGAACTCTCTGTATGTGTCTTTCCCAAGATGCAAAGTCCATTTAGAGTGAGGGAGCTAAGTGCCTTTTGTGAGGTCTCTTTGACTCTATATTGGACTGAAATTCCATTAACTAAGGATGGCCCTCTATTCAACTACAGATGTCCTAAACCAAGTGAACTCTTCCCTCCTCCACTGTCTGCCCCAAACCCATCGAGAAGAATTAGATCTTTAGCCACATTCATTGACTGTCTCCTAGGAAAACTGCTGTCTAAGCCTGATGAGGGAACATCTGCCTAACTGAACACAGATGACTCCTCCCAAGGAATCCCAATGGATTGATGGCTAGACTTATTTTTTTCCTATATATTCTGTACTCTTTTTGTATTTTTGTGCTTAAGTACAGAGCAGTAGTGTGCTAGAATCTATGAAAACTGTCTGAGTATTTAATGCATTACACCTACTATGTGCCCCTGGAAGAGGAAACCAGAAGACTCTGACCTGCAGGTGGAGATCTGGGAGAGGGCATTTTTAAGGGATGGCTGGAGTCTGAGGGCTCAGCACTGTTTGGAGGAGCTGGTTAGTGAGCTGAATGCTCAGGAGGATCTGCACTCAAGTGTGTGCTTTGAGCCCCCAAGAGAGGGATAATGCTTAATGTCTAATTTTAGTTCTGCAAGATTTAATGAGGTTCCCTTTTCAAAAATTGTTTATCTTTATTATGTAGTCCATTTAAAAACAAATCAAACAATGGTCAAAGTGGTTTTAATATTTGCTGCCTTTATATTTTAAAAAATATAAAATTTCTCTTCAGGCCAGAGAAATGGTTGATAACCTAACAACATATTCTCGTCTGTGTTTCAGTACTGTACCCTTTTACTGTTCAGTAACAGTGTGCTATTTATTACAGGATGATGTGATGATGCCACAGAGGGTGAGACTGCAGCTTGAAGCTGCCATTCAATACCCAAGCAGCGTGAGTACTACTTTCATTTTTATTTAAAAACTTGAACTCCAAAACCCATAAAACTGTGGTCAGATGGGAAACATTCACGAGGCTGGTGTTGGCTAAGCATTATCAATCTGCAGTTTTCTTTTAGCTACTGCCAGATATATAATAGTTACTTTGAATTTTTATTTTTTTGTTTTTGCTTGTTTGCTGTTAGATTAAACCAAATTCCCTTTTTTTTTACAGTAATATGCTTATTTCAAATAAGCTACAAAGGTTTCTCCAAACCAGTATTAGAAGAGAGTGTCATTTAAACTAGAACACTTTTTAATATAGCACACTATGTAATATGAAAACCTACAAAGGAGCATTTACAACAATTTTTAAACAACTGTGGTTAATGTTTACACTTCCTCAAACAATCAGAATGTATGGTTTATTATATAAATTGTTGCACATGCCTAGGGTGTTATATGACATTTGTTTTTTTTCCCTATAGCTGGCTCTAAAATGAAGTAATCTTCAATAGGACAAGTGTTCTCTTCTTGTGACATAAATGTGCCTATTCAGTGAAATTAAGATTTTATGAAGACTGTGGTTGTTAGAAGTGTGTGTTAAGTGTATTTCAATGGTTAGGACCAGTAGTAGAGGACCATTTGCAGTTCTTATATATATTCCACTTATCTTGCTGAAGATCAGGCATGTACAATAATTTTGATGGGGGCCTCTCCAAGATTTTGATAAGTGGTCAAGGGTTGCACTTTACTATGGAGGGCGTCTGGGATGGAGCTTGGGGGGGCAGAAGGAAGCATAGGGAAGGGGACTGAGGTGTAGGAGAGGCTGTGGGGTCTGAGAAGGAGTTTGGTTGAAAGAGAGGATTGTAATCAGGGCAGAGAGTTGGGTTGCAGGGGACTGGACTCAACCTCTCAAGGTGGGGGGAAGGATAGCTCAGTGGTTTGAGCATTGTCCTGCTAAACCCAGGCTTGTGAGTTCAATCATTGAGGGTGTCATTTAGGAATCTGGGGTAAATCTGTTAGTGATGGTACTTGGTCCTGCTGTGATGGCAGGGGACTGGACTCAATGACCTCCCAAGGTCCCTTCCAGTTCTATGAGATAGGCAGCTTGGTGGGCCCTGCTGAAGGTGATAAACTTGAACATATTGATGTGTAATATCAATCACATATGGATAAATAAAAATGATATGAAGAACTTTGCCTCAAAAAACAAATTATGTATCTGTCAAAATTATTTGGTAAAAATAGACTTCACAGTGCAATAAATCTTCCAAGGGAAAATGTTAAAGCTCTGAATGGCATATTCAAGGGATTTCTGTAAAGCAACGGTCAATTGACTTTATCTGTCAAAAAGGTATCTATTATAGGAGGTCTGGTTAAAATTACCACTTTGAGTTAAACACCTTTGAACTTTCTCTTCCAAACACCTTGGCTACATCTACACTGGCATGATCTTGTGCAAGAACTCTTTTGCAGAAGAGTTCTTGTGCAAAAACTCTTCTGGAAGAGAGTGTCTACACTGGCATGTGCTCAAGAGATGTGGTTTTTGCGCAAGAGCATCCATGTTTACACTGGCCTCTTGCGGAAGAACAGTTGCGCAAGAGGGCTTATTCCTGAGCCGGAGCATGAGAGTTCTTGCACAAGAAGCACTGATTTCATACATTAGAACGTCAGTGTACTTGTGCAAGAACTCGTGGCCAATGTAGACAGGCAGCAAGTTTTTGCGCAAAAGCAATTGCTTTTGCGCAAGATCGCACCAATGTAGACACAGCCATTTAGTTCAGGATAGAGAGCACTGTGCTTCTTTCAGTTAAGGAATGTCTGCTAAACAACCTGTTGTTCAATGCCGGGATGTGCACCTGCTCTTCTCTGCACCTGTGTATTCCAAAGCTTCATGTGTTTAGATTTCTTTTGAAAATGTTACTTTATATATAATTTATAGGATTGGTCGGACTGTTATTGAGTAGTAGTTTGTACTGTAAGCATATCGGAACAGAGAAAAGTGGAAGATGGAATGGATACTTCTGTTCTGATCTGTAGAAATCAATATAATTTTTTATTAAGATAACGGGAATTGCAAAGGTAAGTGTCACCTGTAAATTTTTGGGGGGGGCAAACACTTATGGGAGCTGTCTTTCTCACATGCTGATTAGACTTGTGTGTGTTTAGACACTGATCTTTATTAGTGCAATTTCTGTTAAATAGTAGCTCGTAACTTAACTCTTTTTATAATCATAGTACGAATTAGGAAAACACTTCATATTAAGAAAAATCAGTGTCTGAAAGCATCAAAGTCTCTCCAGTGGGGAGGTGCAACTGATCTCAAAAATGAGTTGGGACAGAAGAGACAGGACTTTTACTCATTTCAGGTTCTTTCCACTCCAGAGCCACTTGCTCTCAGGAACTAGTATGTAGCAAGTAGACTCTGCTCTCCATTCCTCAAAGCTTTAGTGTAATTTGGAGAGGGGAGTAATAGGGCTTTGTGACACAGTGTTTCCATGGCTGAGCAAGGGCTGTTAATGTGTGTCAATATCAGTCATATCCTAGGTTCATAGCACAGTTGTTTGACTTCAGATGTGTGTATGCTATACATGACCACATTATTTATCAAGCAGCAAAACTGAATATATAGTTGTCTTTATTTCCTCAGCAAGATTTGCCAAGTACTTTCCAACTCTAAAAGCAAAAATTTGCCTACTGTTGTAGTTTGGATTTAGATCAAAAGTTGAAATGCCTAAAGCCATTCTTACGCAATATTATCTCACTGTCTGAATGTGAGTAAACTCCAGCTTGGTTGGTTTGATGACACATGTAGCTTTCAAGTATCTAGTGGATTGGGTGAATTAGAGTAAAGCTTTAATTCATCATACTATTAGTTTACCTCTAGGAGAATTGTAAACAAATATTGTTCAAGCATCAAATGAACTGAACAGAGTTTTCTGATTTTAATTTTGTCACACATGACTCTATGCTGCTGTATTACCACACACAATTTGGCAAAGCATCTTTGTACTACAAACAACTGAGCTGAAAAGTATATAATATTTTATTCAATATTAGCAAATTTCAATGTATACATTTCCTCTTAATAGAAAATACATTGTGTAGAAGGTACGTGTTTTCACATTTTCCTTGTCTAATTTTTCTCATCTGGACTTGCTGTGTGTGTAATAATGGTACATGTTGGTAAGTATGGGATTGGTACAAAGACTTTTTGTGACCTTGGACATGTCCTATTCTACTCCTTAGTCATCAGTATGCATGTAGTTGGAATAATCCATAGTTGATTTAAAGCTTCACTCTCCTACTGCAGCAAGATTTCCCCTTTTTTATCTGTGGGCAGACTTCATAAAATCATAGAATAATAGGACTGGAAGGGACCTCAAGAGGTCATCGAGTCCAGCCCCCCGCCCTCAAGGCAGGACCACGCTCCGTCTACACCATCCCTGACAGATGTCTATCTAACCTGTTCTTAAATATCTCCAGAGAGGGAGATTCCACCACCTCCCTTGGCAATTTATTCCAATATTTGACCACCCTGACAGTTAGGAATTTTTTCCTAATGTCCAATCGAAATCTCCCCTGCTTCACTTTAAGCCCATTACTCCTTGTCCTGTCCTCAGAAACCAAGAGAAACAAATTTTCTCCTTCCTCCTTGTGACACCCTTTTAGATATTTGAAAACCGCTATCATGTCCCCCCTTAATCTTCTTTTTTCCAAACTAAACAAGCCCAGTTCATGAAGCCTGGCTTCATAGGTCATGTTCTCTAAACCTTTAATCATCCTTGTCGCTCTTCTCTGTACCCTTTCCAATTTCTCCACATCTTTCTTGAAATGTGGCGCCCAGAACTGGACACAGTACTCCAGCTGAGGCCTAACTAGTGCAGAATAGAGCGGCAGAATGACTTCACGAGTTTTGCTTACAACACACCTGTTAATACAACCTAGAATCATATTTGCTTTTTTTGCAACAGCATCACACTGTTGACTCATATTCAACTTGTGGTCCACTATGACCCCTAGATCCCTTTCCGCCATGCTCCTTCCTAGACAGTCGCTTCCCATCTTGTATGTATGGAACTGATTGTTCCTTCCTAAGTGGAGCACTCTGCATTTCTCCTTATTAAACCTCATCCTGTTTACCTCCGACCATTTCTCTAACTTGCTAAGGTCATTCTGAATTATGTCCCTATCCTCCAAAGAAGTTGCAACCCCACCCAGTTTGGTATCATCTGCAAACTTAATAAGAGTACTCTCTATCCCAATATCTACATCATTGATGAAGATATTGAACAGTACGGGTCCCAAAACAGACCCTTGAGGAACTCCACTTGTTATCCCTTTCCAGCAGGATTTAGAACCGTTAACAACAACTCTCTGACTACGGTTATCCAGCCAATTATGCACCCACCTTATCGTGGCCCTATCTAAGTTATATTTGCCTAGTTTATCAATAAGAATATCATGCGAGACCGTATCAAATGCCTTACTAAAGTCTAGGTATATGACATCCACCGCTTCTCCCTTATCCACAAGGCTCGTTATCTTATCAAAGAAAGCTATCAGATTAGTTTGGCATGACTTGTTCTTCACAAACCCATGCTGGCTATTCCCTATCACTTTATTACCTTCCAAGTGTTTGCATATGATTTCCTTAATTACCTGCTCCATTATCTTCCCTGGGACAGACGTTAAACTGACCGGTCTATAATTTCCTGGGTTGTTCTTATTCCCCTTTTTATAGATGGGCACAATATTTGCCCTTTTCCAGTCTTCTGGAATCTCCCCTGTCTGCCATGATTTTTCAAAGATCATAGCTAAAGGCTCAGATACCTCCTCTATCAGCTCCTTGAGTATCCTGGGATGCATTTCATCAGGACCTGGTGACTTGCTGACATCTAACTTTCCTAAGTGATTTTTAACTTGTTCTTTGTGTATCCTATCTTCTAAACTTACCCTCTCTCTGCTTGTATTCACTACGTTAGGCACACCTCCAGACTTCTCGGTGAAGAC